AAATGCCGAACCATGAAGGGACTTTACTAGAACATTCCGTAGCCTGAGAAGTTTACCCTGAATCTGAACAGTTGATTATTTGGATATGGTTCAAAATAGTCTATTGATCGTGACTTGGTGCCTATCAGCTTAAGCTTACTGGTGATACATATACGATTGATTGTAGTAAAGGCTTTCAAGAAACCGAGATATATCGAATCAAACTTTATCTAGCGATCAAGAACGAAGATACATTTTACTCAGTCTATTCAAGCAAAACTCAGAACCTGACACATATACACATCACTTCAAGTTGCCAATACATCTATATCGGGTCTCATTGATTATTTAGGTGGTTGGTGGATGGGCAGACGTAATAAATGTCCCAATATTCTGTCAACAAAGATTTATCACCTCGTCAACTAGTTTCTCATACTCACGTAGTACTGTGCATATAACGTGAAGATTGAGAACTCAATGGTCCCAAAGTACACTAGAAATGCCTCAATGATACCTACTATCAAACACCAGTGACCTTCAAATTTCCTTGATTTTTGGAGGTCTTGTTACATTCCCATAAAGAACGGAGCGAATTGTTGTCCAGTAAACGCACTTACGTCAAAAATGGTGTCCTCTGGCAAACGCCAACCAGGTTACTTGAACACGTGATGAAACTTTGTCAAACGCCAACTCACCAGGGTTGATAAGACTTCCAAGCTAAGTGAAGCAACTGACGCGCTTAACTAGTCCATTCCCCACCTTTGAAGCATACCAGTCTTGAGGCAGTATTTAGCACCTAGGCGGACAGAAACACACTATACACGTTCTCACATTGCCCCTTAAGGTTATCAAAAGTCTGCATTCCTTCATTGTCTTAACTAGGCAAAACCAAATAATCTACTCGCCACCGTTAGCAGATTGGTGATGCAGGTGCAGGTCCACCTGAAACTCTTTTCGAGGTGAAAATAAGTTTTAAGATAGCAGGCAGTTGCATAACCTGTCGTACATCAAGGATACCATGACCTCAGAGAGTACCGGCAGAAATGCTATTGACAGTCGGATTGAAGGTTCATTACCTCGGTCACCTCTTATTTATTTATTTATTTATATATACGGAAAACATGAGAACAAGATAACCTTGATGTACTGCCGCATTTCAAAAAGTGCACTTAACGTTGTCCCAATAAACAATGATCCAGATATCTGTAGTAAGAACAGAACACCTACTGTCTATGCCATTCATTTGTACGGATAAAAAGGTAATAATTCAGGAGGCTATGGGCCTATTGGCTTTGGCCTGCAAGAAAAACAATGGCAGAAGCAATGATAACAAGAGCACTGACGGAGAAGAATGTGTCAGTGTAGTAGATGCTGTTAACGGACCCGTTAAACACCTGACTGTGGTTGACGGGAACGTGAAATCTCCGTTGACAATAATGAGGAATGAAGTGCCGCTTGATATTGACATCGGCAGTCATATACCTCTAGTCGAAATAGAAGATCCAGATAAAACTGTCACCGTTTCACGTAGTCCAGGTGTGGCTGTCCTGAGTGGTGACAAATGGACTTCAGTAAGGAGAAAAAGAAATGGGAAGAAAAAGGTTGTGAGCAAAACGCAGCTGGTCAGCAAGGCATTGGAAGGGATGCTATCAGAAGAGAAATCCTCACTGCGTGAGAAGACAGATCACTCTGAGAGATCAGTCATTTTTCATAATATAAGAGAATCTTCAGATAAAGAACCAAAGACGAGATTTGAACACGATCTCAATCATATTAAGACATCATTAAGTAAACTACTCACAGATACAGTTTCAAGAGTCAGTATTTGTAAGCTTTATAGAGTAGGAAAAAAGGTGGATTCCGAAAGTCCTCCGAGAAACCGCCTCCTGAAGGTTACATTCAACACGGTGGAAGAAAGGAACCTGATTCTAAGTAATTCACGTAAACTGATAGGATCCGGAATATATGTCCGTGAGGATCTCAGCCTAGCAGATCGTATTAAGAGAGGAGCTGCAGAAGCGGAAATAAATGAACGTCGCCAAAACGGGGAAAGGAACCTTGTTCTTGAGGGTTTTCAAGTTGCAAAACGATCCCCAAGCCACTCCGGGTGGCAAATGAAGGCTCTCCACAGACTTAAAGGTATGCTACACAAATGCTCGCAGCCTACTAAATAAAATGGCGGAGCTCAAGTCAGTGGTGGATAAAGAAAAACTGGATGTTATTTCTGTCTCGGAAAATTGGTTAACGTCAGAAGTATTAGATAGTGAAATCCAGTTGACTGGTTTCATAACCAGTAGAGCTGATAGATTAAACCGTAGGGGAGGCGGGGTTATTCTGTACACCAAAAGTACCCTAACCATAAGATTAGCTGAGACAGTAGCACATGTTTCAGGGACATGTGAACTGGTGAGATGTGGGTTGAAATGCCGACGGCAAAATATTGAAGAAGTTGTAGTATATCGCAGTCCAGAATGTGTAGCAGATGATTTTCTCCTAAGTAAACTTAAGTGCTGGTGTAACAACGGTAAAAGTCTTGTAGTAGGCGACTTTAATGCACCACATATAAACTGGGTTAACTTAGAAGTAGGGTCATCCGTATCGTCGTTCGACTGCAAACTGTTAGAAACCTCGATTGGATTAGCATTATTCCAACACATTAGAGATCCCACAAGATACGACTTAAGAAACTCTTCCTCTCTTTTAGATTTAGTTTTCACACACGGTGATGACGTTGGTCAAATGGCTTTTCTCCCACCACTTGGGAGAATTGACCATGCAGTCATCTCATTCAAATCCATGGCTGAGATTGCCTGTCAAACAGTTGCACCGTCCCGTCCCGTCCCAACATATGGAAGGCAGATAAGCAGGCAATTAACTCCGCAGCATTGGATGAAAACTGGGAAATTGACTCAAAGGCATCAGTACAAGAGGTATGGACTCTATTCAGGCAGTTATACAATACGGTAACTCACCCATACATACCCTACACTGTCCCAAAGAAAAAGAAGCACGGACATCCCTGGATAGGGCGAGATTTTCGACGTTTGCTGAGACAAAAGAAGAAATGCTGGGACGTTGCCATCCTCCTTGGCACAGCAGGTACGATGGAACGCTACAGATCGATAAGAAACGAGTGTATAACGAAAACTCGGGGAGCTCAAAGAAAATATGAAATGCAACTGGCACAATCTGCACTCAACAGCCCAAGAGAATATTCTCGTACAAAAACTACAGAACAAGGATGCATCATTGGATTCCCAACCTAATTAAAATAGGAAGTGAATCTGAAATGATAAAGGAAGATCAGGAAAAAGTAGAGGCTACGGCTGAATATTTTGGGGCAGTTTTCACTCAGGAACCTCCTCTAGACAAAGAACCAGACCCAAATACAGAGTCAACAAACCAGCTGCTCACCGTGGATTTCGACCAAAACGATGTGCTTAAGGCTCTTAGCACCCTAAACGTGGAGAAGTCAACAGGACCAGATGAACTACATCCCAAAATCTTGAGACATATTGCCCAATATATCGCAGCCCCACTGACTGTGATATTCAATATGTCACTTGACCAAGGTGTGCTACCTATGGACTGGAAAAACGCAATCGTCACTCCCATACATAAAACAGGTCTACGACAAGTTCCATCGGATTACAGACCCGTAAGCCTCACCAGTGTGGTAATTAAAATACTAGGAAGAATAATCAAACGGACCATGACAGCATTTATGGAAACCAATAACTTGCTGAACACGGCACAGCATGGTTTTAGAAAGAGTCTATCCTGTACAACGAACCTCTTTATAGCAAGGGAGTTCTGGATTAATACGCTAGGCAACGGAAACTCAGTGGATGTTGTCTACATAGATTTCAGTAAGGCTTTTGACAAGGTGCCAACTAATAGACTGCTATTGAAGTTGGAAAACCTTGGTATTTCCGGACCTCTTTTAAAATGGATTAAAGATTTCCTAGTAGGTCGAAAACAAAACGTAAGAATAAATTCCAAGTGCTCCATCTGGAGACCAGTACCTGGTGGAGTACCCCAAGGTTCCGTCCTAGGTCCTTTACTTTTTATAGTGTACGTCAATGATCTTACAGGTATAGTACAGTCTCCAATGTTATCATACGCTGACGATGTAAAAATTTGGCGGGTAATAACTGGAGACAAAGACGCATTTACTCTTCAGGCAGACTTAAATAATATGATAAACCGGTCCAAAGAGTGGCTGATGCCTATCAACGCGGAAAAGTGTGTCTACATGCACTTGGGGGATTCAAAGGTAAATAAGTACAACATAGGGGATGTGTCACTACTCGTAGTCCGGTCTCATAAGGATCTAGGGGTGACAGTGAATCATGATCTTAAGACGACGGCCCGTTGCCGGGAGGTTGCAACCAAGGGTTTTCGAACACTCTGAGCTTTAAAACGGACATTCACTAAGTTAGATACTACCATGTTCACCACAGTATACACATCCTTAGTGAGAACTAAGCTAGAGAACTGCGCTCAGGCTGCAAGCCCCTGTTTAAAAGGGGACTCGGACATACTAGAAAAAGTTCAGAGGGCAGCTACCCCTGCAATTCCGGAACTCCGGGGTCTATCATACAAAGAGCGGCTTGAAAAACTGGACCTCTTTACTCTGTCCTATCGCAGACTAAGGGGAAATCTAGTTTTGATGTACAGAATACTGAAAAATGATTTCGGACCTAACTTATCCTCTCTATTTCTTTCCACTAGATCGGGACACCTTAGAGGACATAGCAGGCGAATAGAAAAGCCAAGAACGAACAAAATACCCGTGGCATACAGGTTTTCACACCGCGTCATCAATACTTGGAACCTGCTGCCTAAAGCAGTGGTGTCCGCACCTTCAATCGACTCTTTCAAGAGAAGACTGGACACTCACAGAAGCATACTAGAAAAGGAATAACATGGGCCGTAGGCCTTCTGTCCTTACTACAAAAATCTGTATCTGAACTTGGCCAACTTATTGGTCATTGAATTGAGCCACAATTCGAAACATGGACTTGTTTCCGCAGTACTGTAGTGTAATTAAATATTTAGAGAAATGTTCTCATATAAAAATGTTTGAAGATCACCTGATCAAAACATTTCGTGGGAAAGTAATTGAATTTAACACTGAGTTACATTAGCGATTTAGAAACGACCAGTATGTGCCATTCCAGTTTATCTTGCTCTGCATGATTTATTAGAAGAATCAGGTAATTTGTTGCCAAACTACAGATGATTCTTTTTCAATCCTAGGGCCGAGTCTAATGTTCGCTGTGTATCGGTTCTCAAAACTAGAAAAACTTCTCCAAGAAGTAAGTCTATTTTTGAAATTCTGTTGGGTAGTCAGACTCTCTGTACAGACGATATATTGGATAGATATTATCCATTGAGTTTAAATTAACTGATATCGTATGTAAATATCAGAGTAGCAATCTTGTTTATTTGAATCATGCAGAGTAGCTCGTAATGTGGTCTTGACGTGGATACATGTATCCACTATCTACAGATAGTAAACGTTTATCAATGAATCTCATACGATTAAGCGAAAAACAAGTTTTACTTATTACAGATATCCTTGGTTATCTAAACTTCTTCAAGATCATGACCAACGAAGTCGCACATTCAAGGTAAAAATTCATGATATATATATATATATATTCAGCTACTTATCAATACATAATTAGATACCCATGTACAAGTCAGAGCTCTGCACATAAATGGATAGGCACAAAATGTCACATCACATCAGTTCAGCCAGATGAAATAATCAAGGTGGATTCTAACCTGGAAGTAGTACCAGTCCCAGTAAAAGAGACTAGAAATAACAATTCTGGTTAGAAGATTAGGGATAACTTGAGAGAACATAAGGGATAAAATAATTTTAAAACTCTAGAGGAAAACAAGGAATGAATCTATCTGAAACCTGAAAATGGCTCTGATAAATATTACGTGACATCAATGAAGTTGGTTAGTAAAATCTCACGAACCTTCAATGCGTAGTCCACACATATGTAATCAATCGTTCCAAGAAATATATAGTCAAACATCAATAACCTAGTAATGTCCTCCTTTTTTGAAGACCACATTCGGGAGCCGTAAAGTAAAACAGAGCAAAGAGCTCCACATCATATTAGCCTTCGATAATCTGACAGTAAATTCATTTACATCAGCCGCGTTTACTAATGTTTTAAAATTCTGTTTTCAAAAAAACACTAGCGAATAAGATGGTTGACTAAATCAGCATACTTTAGTAAGTTTTTTGGATTGAGATCCACAGCTGCAAGAAACACTCTCTTGCTACAAAGCATTTTGAAATATAGACACGTTATGAATGGTTATTTCGATTGTGTTTCATTATTTTTTAACTAACGTGTTATGAATTATTTGATGGTTTTTAAGCTGCGTCTAAACTGTGACTACGTCTATCATCAAGAACAAATCTTATAAGGATTTGGATTCACCCGAACGTTCCAGAAAGATGTTTTTACGCAAGGTTGTGAAGTGTTGTGGTATTTCTCTTTGAATTTGTTCCCAACCCAATGCACGTAAATTACAAATACAAAACACGAAAGTAGGCCGATGTAATTCATATTCATTGCGAGAAGTTACAAAGTATTTACATAATAGATATAAATAGCCCTTAATTATCTGCTTTCTTCCTCCAGTGTGTTTTGCAACCTTAATTGTCTTTTCGACTGACCTCCAAGTGTTCTGCCAAAGTTTTGCTTTCGATGCACTGAAACTACTCAATCTGTTCGACAATTTTTTCAACTTCGACACCGCGTCTTGTTATACACTACTTACAAACGTCCTTGTGAGTAGCGTCTACTATACAAACATCAAAGTTTCGCTTTCACACAACGAATCCTTTTCTTTTTCGCAGCTATTTACCTACTAAAGAAGCTAAGAAAGTCACGTTTTCTGAAAATAATAAAAAAATTGGTTACAATGGCCAAAGCATACCTCAGGAGAGGATATCGGCAAGTTTTTCCTGATTGCCACTAACTCGTTTCACAGCGAATATATGTATTTCTGGGTTAGACGGACATTATTAAAACATTTTTAACAATAATGGGGGACTGGATTTGTTTAAAAAGTCGATATTGCAATGCGAATCACTGACTAGGAGTTAAAGGGCGCTGATCATCCTCTTCTTGCATCTTCAGTAACATATCTTTTAACAGTAGGAATAATGTGTGTAGTTAGGATATAGAGTTAAAGTAAGTGTTAAGAAATAACTGTAATCTGTGTGTTCAATAGTTGGTTTGAAGCTTCAATATATTTATCTCTCAAAAATGATGTTTATTAAATGTTTATCTGATGTCAGTCATAAGTTTTAGAATGACAAGTTAGTTATCTATGTCATATCTGCTCGCCTGCAAGTCCGTATCCTTTGAACAAAGAAACCTTGTTCTGATTGGATTCGTGTTTGTTTATATATTGTAGATAATATTTTGTCTTGCGGTTGAAATCGATATACTATCGTGCGATGATGATATAAACTCTATTACTGTGGAAGTAATTTTCACAGACATTTTATGCATCCCAGAGTGAGTAAATACATCTTATGCAGTTCTTTGAAGAATTCAATATAACAAAAGCTACAAATTTACTAAAGATTGTTTGACTGTCATAGAAGGTGTTGTTATAGGAATAACACATGTTCATTCGTTCACCAAAGCAGTTCTGTATTCATGTCCAGAACATCTTTGCCCGGGAAATAACAATTACTTTATCCAACATACAACGGACATTTACAAAAGGTTGACGAGGTAAGATGTTTGAAAACTGTAACTTATTAGTGACATTCCAATGTAAATTTTGTCATACAGATCTGAGGGAAGAAATGGAGAAGAGGTTGTTCTCAAGTGCGTTAATAAGTTTCGAAACGTTTTAATTTAGAAATTAGACTTCTTGTCAAGCAAAACCGTACAGATTGTCCTTCAATTTATTTATTTTCATTCGCAAACTAAGTTTTCACTTTAGATATTCCAATTTACAAAATTTTGATTCCTTGTTTTGACATTGCTTTGTAACGCACGAAATTTACTTTCCATTTTATTTAGTTATTACTTTCATCTTGTGAAGCCAATAATGTTTAATTACACCAGGTTTCCTTACAGTATTTTAAAACTTGTAACCATTCAGGCGAGTAGAAAGGCCAAGGACGAACGAAATACCCGTTGCAAACAGGTCCTCACACCGCGTCATCAATACTTGGAACCTGCTGCCCGAATCAGTGTTGTCCGCACCTTCAATAGACTCTTTCAAGAGAAGACTGGCCACTCACAGAAGCATACTAGAAAAGGAATAACATGGGCCGTAGGCCTTCTGTCCTTACTACACGAATCTGAATACCTGAGTCACCTGTTGAACAGGACCTTGAAGTCTGAACGCAGTTCATAAGTTTAGTTCTTACTAAGACTGTGTGTGCTGTAGTGAACATAGTTGTACCTAACTTGGAGGATGTTCGTCTTAAAGACCATTGGGTTATAAACCGCTAGCTGCAACCTCTCCGCAATGTGCCGTTGTTCTAATATCATAACTCACTCTCACCACAAGATCCTTGTGAGTCAGGTTCACAAGTACGGGAACTTTTTCAATGATGTAACCATCTAACTTTCTTTCCTCCGGGTGTATGACTTGGAATTTATTCTTACTTTCTCTATACGACCTAACAGGAAATCGTTAAGCCATTAAGAGAGACATCCAGCAATGCCTAGATTTTTCAGCCTCAACAGTGATCTGTTTCTTGGTACCTAATCGAAGCTGTACTGAAGTCAATGTAGACAACATTCATTGATTTTCCACTGTCTAGAGCCTTTTTACATTGCTTACTTGCTATACGGAGTTTTGTTGTTCAAGATAAAGCTCTTCTGAAATCATGTTGTTCGTTGTCTAACAAATTAATGGCTTGCACAAATGTGATTATGAACTTTTTGACTATTCTTTCCAGTACCTTAACTACGACACTGGTGAGGCTGACAGGTCTGAAGTCAATGTAAGTTATCTTTGTCATGTTTTATGTATGGGAGGAACGATAGCATCCCTCCAGTCTCTAGTTAACATTCCTTGGTCAAGTGACATATTGAATATCAAAGTTAGTGGGGCTGCAATATATTGTGCAATCTGTCTCAGGATTTCGGGGTGTAGCGGTAAATAAATCCCCAAAATAAATAGCTCAGTAAATCTTCGACATTGGATGCTGCCCACATTAGTTTTAATGGACTCATCTAGCTGAAAACGTTCGGTCATGCTTCCGCATCAGATCACGAGTGGGAACGCTGTGTTCCACATCCTTTGCAATAGCTAACCAGATCAGATGAGTTGACCCTTGATATATTGATAGCCTATCAACTGTATCTTCGAACGTCCTCGCTTCTGTCTTTTGATGTCAGCTGGAAGGTACGCTTCATGTTAGAAAGTGTTAATGGTTGAAGCGCTGTCAAACTACGAAGACCTGTGGCATCTTCAGTCCGGTTCTGCTGACTTTTCCGTGTCTAAAGTACCGTAGGATTTAAGTACATCGTCTCGATCAAAGTTTACGGTGGGCAAACGGTTTGTTGATTTTGTATTGGGGTCTAGTTCTTCATCTGGGAGAGACTCCTGAGTGAAAATTGCTTCGAAACAGTTCGCCATAGCTTCTGCCTTATTCTGATCATCCTTTATCATTTCCTTAATAGGGTTAGGAATCCAATGCTGTGTCCTTAATCTGTAATTCATGTACGAGAATAGTCTCTTAGACTGCTTGATTACAATTTTCTCTGAGCGTTAAAGACAAACGTGAGTGGTGAAAATGACCAGCTGTTATAAATCACTAATGTGAAGAAAGTTTGCCATCTCGAGGACATTGGCTCAAAAGTAAGCGTTCTTCTCGAAAATGCAAACAACTGTCTTCAAGATCTTGTTTTCAGCCCACAGGCGAAAAACTGAAAACCGTTGGTCATAAGGGATATAATTTGTGTTTATCTTGACATGTTTTTACAAAAACACATCCACTAGATTTTCGTTGTTGAAGACGTTACTACGTCATTTGTCGAGATATACATCCTATAACATCATAATCTACTCATCGACCGGAATAAACAGAGGTTAGTAGGTGGAAGTCATCTTTTTATGGGACGTCATTATCTAGTTATAAGTTATGCCTGAACACGGTTAAACGGATAAATGATGCGTATTTCCAGCAACACTCGACAGGTGTCTTTAGCTTCACAAACATGACTGCAACCACCGTGTGTAACCAGAAATATTTCACAATACACCAGGACTACAGAACTACCTCCATTGTCTTGGCAGACAAAGATACCACGCATATACAATACTTGACAACAGTTTAGTCAATTTTCATAGTCAAAATATCACAAATCCAGTCAAACCAAAAGTCAGGAATGAAGTTCGAAGGTATATTTGGAAAGTTGTCAATGTATTGAGAAGATCATGATTGATGCTGAGTAGTAACTACAGGGGATGCAAAGCACGGCCTAACCACTCGTGATTTACTGCGGATGCGTCACCGAAATTCTTCATCCTGACTTTGTCCAGCAATCTCAATGAAGTCATCTTCGATGTTGAAGACTTACAGACGTATTTATTTTTGATTTATCGTTACATATTTATTATTAGGAATAATTCAGATGAGTGTATAAACAAATCTCTCTGAAGGACAATAAAGTACGGATACAGTGGGAATTAGTCGGTTTCCACAATTATATACTTTATAGTAGTATAATATACTATCTTGACATTAACATACCTTATTTTTTCATTGCATATGAGACTGATTATCTAGGAGGACCTTTTAAGAAAGTCCACAAACCGAAATCGAATAGTTTATATCCAGATTTTTATTGTTCTTAATGAGTAATGGATTACTAGAATTTTCTACCCGAGCGCATGATATAAGTACCTTTTGTTGAAACATTTAATGTTAGATTAGGTTGGGTTGATTGACATCACATCCTATTTCCAAAGTCTATCTGGTCACAAACATATTGAAACTGTAAATTGAGTATTTCCATTGTTAGTTTGGATCAAACTTAAATAACTGTTGTCATGACATGAAATCCACTTTTCAATTGCAAAGATATTATGAAGAGTCATTTTTATCCGATTGCAAGAATGAATTTGATCTCAACTCGTTAGCAGATAATATTGATTTCACTGTTTATAACTATCTAGGTCACGATATACTTGTGTGCCGAAAACCAGCCTTAACAGAACACCATAACTCTAGATTAAAGACTGATGACAGAATCGACTTATTATACGATTTGAAAACATCTCTGGAAGGGGAACGACGTGAAGAAACTGTTCATTCATATAATTATAAACCTCAGAAAATGCAGTGTGGCCCTCATTTTTTTCACCGCGCTCAATTTCACTCTTCGAAGTGTACGTTTCCAAATCCAAAAATAAAAGTCAATATTGAAAACATTCGTATGTACCCGGGCTTGAAGTGGAGTGTGAACAGAACTCAAAAAATAAGTAGACGAACTGCTTCCAGGTCAAGCAATGTCATTCCAATAACCAGTTTCATAAGTGATATATTTAAATTACATAGAATTTAATAAAAGCGTCTAAAGAATTACAAAGTTATGTATGCACAATGGAGAAGATGGAATGTAACCACATAAATATATATGGAAATACCAACATATTCACATTAGCTAGTACAATAAACTGCAATATATTTCCCTCGGGAGAGATAATGAATTACAAGTGTAAACAAGTTTTTCAGATGGTACTTTTGGTACTGACTATATCCTAAACTGCATGAAATTGTATTACCACAGTGGTAGCTATTCGTCTCTATATTTTGACTCAAATGTTTTGTCTTTAGAATACCATCGTGGATTTGTTTGGTTTTAAAACGATAAAATTCATATGCATGTCCTTAACAGAAGCTAAGTATTGTTTGAGTGAAAAAATAGTCGTTTTAATAAACATTAAAGTCTGCTCTTTTTAGACACATTTGACGTACATGTTCACTTCCTTTAAAAAACTCATGTATTTATAAATTTAAATCAAAATTCGAATAATTCTTGTTCTTATGAAAGCCATAGGTCATTAGGTAACACTCATTGCGATTGGTCGTATCGATAAATGTCAAAAAATATGATGCACTCTCTATATCACTCAGTAGTCGTCATATTTTCTGCTTCACTTCCATAGTTATACGTCAACAGTGTATAAAACATAATTGTTGACTGATAAATCACAAAATGTAGACTTACTAAGGATTCGCTCGGAAATCTTTCTGTGAAACGCTTTATCTCAAGTAGTCAATTTGACGACCATGGTAATATCAAGTCGTATGAATTTCAACTTTAAAGAAGGTCTGATAACTTTGAAGGCATGAAGAGAGATGTATTATCACATAACAGTTTTAGATTTAGTACTGTGACAATCACATTCATACTAAAGAACTACCTTTGAGTGTTCTCTCTGAAGATGTAAGGGAAATTAAGTTTAAGCCGTTGACAAGTAAGTTGTAAAAGCTAGAATCTTTTATTTCAACAATCTCTTCTTGAAACTTGTAATTGACTACAGATTTTAGGGACGTTAGGTTTGTTTTCCTCTACGTTTTTCCGTATCTAAAATAAACTCCTCACTTAGAAAACTGATTGGAGCCCTTGATTAAATCTCAGTCGGTCATTTGCAACAAAAAACGTACTACATCTTCTCACAGGTTAGAGTTGCTATATTACTTTAGCACAACAACGTTATCAGGGCATATCCTACAGTCTTATTTTTTTAATAGCATTGGTAGTAGTAGAACAGATTAGGTAT